CTTGCACAATCGGTGGCTGACTAAATACTTTTTTGCCCCACTGTAGGTCATTAGTATTTGTTAATCCTATTACTGCTGATAAAAGTAGCAGAATGACTTCTGAAGTGTTAAGGCCGATACTCTGGAAAAGCAACAACATTTGTTGACTGACCGCTAAGGCTTTTCATCACAGTATCAAAAACAATTCTCATGTTTAAAGCTATCTTAGATTGTCATTTTGAGCCCTATAAAATAGCTAAAATGAAAATAACTATAATCCCTAAAATAATATCTGCAACATTTTGTTAAATGTCTTAAATTAAATATTTAAAAGCTGCACTCTATGGTGATGTGCAGAGAATAACAAATTCTGTGTCAAATAATATGGTCCTAAATAAACCTAAATATGAAGTAGTGCAATCCCAGTGAAAGAGAGGATATGAACTGTATATAACTGTAAATGATAAATTATGCAACATGTATCTCTCATGTAGTGTGATATGCATATGTAGGAATTAAACTTTTTTTTTTTTAAAACAAATGAATGAATTGTAAAATGCAAACAATTTAAATCATTGTCAATAATTAAATCAACTTTAATTAATATTTTCCCTGATGTTGCCTCTCCAAGGAATCCATTATCACTTTTATTTGGATCAAAGGAAGTGAACTAGGTTCACAATAGATTATGCCTTCTAACTGGGTAGATGGATATACCTGAAGTTTACCAGACTTTGTGCTATATTGTAATTCTCAAGTGTTCCCTTAACTTTTTTTGAGCAGTGTATAAAATATCCTTGCACTAATGTGTGAACACAGTGCTCTGTCTTTGGTCTTTCTTTTCCGTTTATCACAAATAGACCTGCTACTAGAGAGCTCGGTCTTTTCTCTTTGCAATTTACGATTTAGAAATGAGGATCGCATCATCATTAAAAGCTGCAGATATTAAAAAGGTTATTAGTGTATACTTCTGTTAATTTTGGCTGCTTCTTTGTCACAATGCTGTATAAAATTTTTATATCAATTATACAAATAAATGTACTAGTATAATATCATCTGAAGCCTGCTTTAAAAACAACTTGTATTATTTGGGATGTGCAAGAAGGTTGGCTAATGCAATCTTATTGAGTCTCAGGTCATGGCAGTTAAAGAGTAGCACCTTCATCAATGAATGGGTACAATGTGTCCCCTTTATTAAGGTGCAGAATTGTAGTCAGAGTTTCATGACTGCGCCACCAGCTACAAAAAAGAAGCATACAAAGGTTTTTCCCCATAAAGGGCTCAATGGCAATACCTTAGAGGGTACCACTAAGGTATTGCCTGGTATATAATGGCACAGTGATGTGCCATTTTACCTTTAAAGGTAAAATAAAATACTTTTTTCCTGGGGGAGGAAGACTACCTCTGCATGATCATAAATGTGGTAGACTTTCAAAACTTTATTTCACCTCCATTTAAAAACTTGAATTGTGTATGCTTGTAGGCAAAAGGGTCTTATTTAAAACTGATCTTTGCAAACGTACATTTCTTGGCGCACTTAGAGTTTATTCTCTGACATTTAATCCTCCTGTGGCCAACAGAAATGGCTTGTATTTATTTTGAAGCACAGCTCAAGTCATTCTGGCAGCATGAGGAGGTGGAGGGAAGGTTAAGAGCACTTCGGGGATCCGGTTTAGGAGTGAGTGAGTCAGGCGAATTTAAATCTGTCTCATAGTCAACAGGACAATTCCAGCCAACACACACGGCAGACACATTTAGAGACAATGACGGCAACAACATGAGTCATACAGCAGCAGAGAATGGCTTGAACTGATTTCAAGGAAATGTTGGAGTTATTATACTGCAACATAAAACATAATTACCTGTGCTTGTATGCTGTCATACATGGTGTCATACAGAAAGATGAAACAAGCAATTCATCTTTGATCACACATTCAACATTTCAGTCAGTCTCGCAGACATGAATCTGCCTGTTTAATATATTCTAATTTAAAAATCCAGACATAGAAATAAACAGGTATTGGTCTCTAAATTTTGAAGCTTTGGTATTAATGCTTTGGCTGCTGTTTTGTTAGTTTTAGTGTCAGAAGTGACTATATTTGGATAAGATTCCAGAGTGCCATGTCATAAGCTAAGGCTAGCAAGCTCTGTTAGCAACTAGTGTCCATAACATACAAGCTAATGACAGGCTAATAAAATACCAAAACTAGAGCACTGATTTCTTTGACAGTCTGAACCTTGCAACTATTTTTCTCAGATAATTCCAGTAAAAGAAGAAACTGACACCAACAATGTTCAGCTCATCTTTGAAACCAGGGAAGCTACCCTCTGCTGGCTGAAAGAATAGGTTGAAGGCTCTACTTCTTTATTAGTGATGCATGTATTAACCTAGCTTGTTGAGCCCCTAATCTCTTTGCAGTGGCAGTGAAGGAGTGTTCAGCTGTTGCTAATTGACCACACCTAGTCAGGTGTGGATAAAGGCATATCTGAGGCAGGCTTTCATGGAGGCATGGTAGTCTCTGTCTTAGTAGTACAAGCTATTTTAGCTAATGTGTTACATAAATAATAAAAGGTGCTATATATAATAATAAAACCTCTTCTCATTTAAATTCTGGTATTAGTCTCCATATTTGTCATGGCTGCGGCAACAGACATGTGGACTGATAGAAGAATGAGGACCCAAATGCAGACACAGATGCAGGAGAATGTTTTGAACGGACAGCGAGGCTTCGGCTGAACAATACTGCAAACAGGTGAAACAGAGAAAACTAACAACACCAAAACTTGGGAAAACTAAGCATAACATGTAACCTGAGGGTGGAGCAGAACCCAGAAACACAGGGAAAGCTGACAGAGATAACGCTGAGGCAACATAGGGAAGACACGCAGAGGTAACACAGATGGACCAGTAACAAGCAGAAGAAAACACAGGGCTTGAGCCAGGCCATAAAACATAAATGGGGGCTCGTCCAGGATAGTTTGGACATTTTTGTGGAGAGATATATATACCAATTATGTCACAAATAAATGTTACTCATCATGTCAGATCTTTTTTGAATGAAGTAGGTTTTCTGTGGGCTAGCTTTAGGTCTTGCAGACTTTTGGTTGAGAGGCTCAGCAACATGCCACACCTTCTTGGGAGATTTTTTTCCAGGGGTGAGGGGGGTACATGAAGGCTGCATTCTGGATCTGATCATTAATATCTTCATCTTCATTGAAAGGGAACGTCCCACTGAGACTGCAAAAACATAAATACTTTTAGTTTTTGCACATTTATCACTAATCATTTCATAATAATAGAAATTCATTAAAGTATAGATACTATCCTATAGATGTTACATTGTGTTTACAGAAACAACTAAAAAAGGAGAAGGATGAGATAAAGGAAAAGCTCAGAAATAGACAAGCAGAAAGAAGAATAAGATTTTAAACCAAAATCTACTCAGACTATCATGTTTATCAGTAAAGGTCTCAGCCTACCTGACATAGATGATGACTCCAACTGACCACATGTCCAGAGAGCGATTGTAGCCTTTATTTCTCAGAACTTCAGGAGCAAGATATGCTGGTGTTCCGACCACTGAACGCCTGAATGACTTCTCACCAATGATTCGAGCAAACCCAAAATCACACAGCTTCACCTGCAGCAGGAGCAATATAAATTACTAAAGCTGTTAGTAGTGGAGGTAAAAGTAAAACAATGTAAAAGCTGGCTGGTCATTTCACAGCATTATATCTATGGTCTTAACCTACACAACTGTCAGACTGGTAATACTAGAGTATAGCAGTGATATGTAGTAAAAACATGGGGTTTGTCACAAAAAATGTCTAAAACAGTCAATTTTTCTGTGTAGTGTGACACATTTGACATTCATTTGTCTTTATAATGTTAGGCTTATCAGTGTCTTGGGCAGGAATTTATTACTCTTTAACCACCTGATCTAACATAGTAACCATCTAGCCAGAAAGAAATATCATGCAGCCAGAACCTGGTGTTAGTATTTAAATGGACATGTGGATTGATTCTAAGTGTAATGAAGCTACTAAAAGTAAAAAAAAACCTGTTGGCTGTTAGCTTGCTGGATGATTCACTCACACTCAGGAGGAAGATGGAAATTATTATGGATATGTTGGCTCTTTTCAAGGTTGTGATGAATCATTTCTCTTTTGCAGACCTAAACATGCAATCTCACATCGTTGTCTAAATGTATTTCGAGTTATTTCACGGGCTGTCTCTCCATCCTGATACTCAAATATGGAGACTTAGTTTTGGAGTCTTAATGTAGGAAAAATCAATAACTCTTTATTGAGCAATGAACCACACAAGGTGGTTTCAATGGATATCAAAATTGTCTCTCTGTAAGGTTGTAGAACCACATGGATTTATCAGGTTATGTGATATAGTGACATTGTTGCATCTCATCAATCAGCATCTGGGCAGAGCATTTTCAAACTTTAGTGTTCTTCCAGAATTCAGGAAATTCAGTTTTTCACCCTGACCTATTCCCACACCTGTGGTCATAACTAAAAATGGTAGGCTGATGAAACTGGCACATTATATGAGTGAATAGTTATATTTAATGTTGACATATGCATTGCTTGGTTTTGGTTTCTAAAAATTAAATTTGATGCCTGGAAATTTGAGGTGCTCTAGTCACCTGAAACTATCTCAAGTGATACAAATTATTTTTAGGCATACATCAGATGCATGAACTAAGTCATACTTGTGTTTTTAATTTATTTCTATATTAAATATAACACATTAAAACTGAACTTATAACCTCCTGAGCTACAGCCACGGGGTGGCTGTAGCTCAGGAGGTAGAGCAGGTCACCTACTGATTGGAAGGTCGGTGGTTCGATCCCTGGCTCCTCCAGTCTGCATGTCAAGTATCCTTGGGCAAGATACTAACCCCAACTTGCTCTCGCATGTCAAGTATCCTTGGGCAAGATACTAACCCCAACTTGCTCTCCGATGCATCCATCGTCCATTTACCATTTTAGCATAGTAGAGCTCAGTAGTCACAGAGCCACAGTGATCTAGCAGATCTTCTAGTAGTAGTTTACCTCATTTTTTAGAGCTTTTCAAACTATAAATAATGTGATTTTACCGTGTTTTATGACCTTATAGTACTTCCCCCCAAATAAGAAATATCATATGTTCATAATTTTCAGTCACATTATTGACTGAATTGACTATTATTCTCTAGCTGACAAAAATTTACTCCATTATGACAGACAAAACTGGACAAAAATGTTTTGGGAGGTCTTGTATCATCTATCCGTGGAGGAAAAACAATAATATACAGAGAAACTATGAATTTTGCAGACTTGTGATCCATACCCCCCCCACCCCCCACCCCCTGCCCCCCAAGTGACTTTATTTCAAAGTACAGACAATTACATGTATTTATAAATATTCTTTGTGTATTTTTCTGGATAAGTAAATTGTGCCGCCATGTGGAACAAGAAATTGTTCAGCGTTCAAATAAAGGTAAGTGCTACATAGACACGTAAATCTTTCATTTTGACATTTGCTGACTTGCACTTTTATAGTGTAGAACCAGAGAAGTTCCTATAGTATTCATTTGTCACATAAATGTTGTGGCATAACAATAAAGCTGAGTGAGTATTTTTCCATTGTCAGGCTAGGAATGTGTTTTCTCTCTATATGATTTCAAAATATCAAACCTGAGTTCAAACTTTTTCACCTACTTAATATTCCTTTCTTAACATATGCTAAATATATTGTTAGCTTTCTAGCTACCTGCAGCACAAACTAACTGTGTACATTAGTTATAAAGACTAAACAGAACTGTAACTGACAGTTTCTCTTGCTCCCAGTCGTATTAAACTAGTTTACATACTTTCTCTTTACTGACACAGACATAAATCTGATGCCAATTACCTCAACTGATTCTGAGAAAGATGAAAAAGAGGATTTTGATAAATGTCATATTATTCTTTAAAATTATTGATTTCACTTGTTTATGCCAACCGGCTGACACGCGAACGTTAACACATCTCCTCCAAACGGAGCTAGATATTTGCATTTTGTTTGTTTCATGATATTTCAGAGGAACAGGCTGTGCAGATGATACACAGTAAGTATCATGTGAGGAATTATGAGCCAAACAGCTAAATGATGCATCACTAGAGTTAACAGTTAGTCTGTCTGACACTAACAGCTATTTCTAAAGACCGAACACTGAAGGAAGCTGCTAATAGTTACACTGACAGCTAATGGAGTGTCTATGTCCAACTTTTATTGCTTGCATCCACAAATACTAATACGTGTGCGTGTTTTGTATTTTCTGTTTCTATCACTGCATAACTTCACTCTTTCTGCAGCTCAGAACTCAACACACATCATCTTTTTTACTACTGTTGTTTGCCAGTGTTGTCAAGACATGTAAATTTTTCTGTAGATAATTCAGATAAAATTAGAAATTAGAAGAATTCTGACATAACTTTTAAACAGCTATACTAAAAGTTACAAGATATTAATAACTGAGAATTTGAAACCTTTAACAGATTATTTGCATAAGACTGAATAAAGGTAGTCAATATTATCTAAACGGTGCAGGACCTGGGTGGAAACACAACATCTATTTAACAGTCTCACAAATATCATCTTCAGCCTTAGCAAAAACATCTACTTGACAGAGCAGTTCTATTACTATTACATATTGTCATGAATAATATGCAGAACCAAGGCTGAATCATGATAGAGCACCTGCAGCAACACGCCAGCAGCTGAATTGAGAAAAACAGTGAGTACTGATGAGGATATTGGGTTTAATGTTTAAAACATTAAGATAGCAATACTCCATTTCAGTCCACCATACAATGCCTGAAAGATGAGTTTTGTGCCTTGCTTTCCCAACTGGCTTCAGCAAGTTCAGGTTCAGAACATGCTTGCTCTGTTGATCTGATTGTTTGAGGTTTACCTAGGATAACTGACAAATAGCCCATCCAATCAACTGACTTATTTTGCAAGCGCTTGTATTTTTCCACTGAAAACTTTGTCACAAACGCTTTAATCAACTGGCTCCTTTCGATGTAGAGGAGTAGCGAGTCTACTCTAACCCCAATCGCTGATTGCGAAGCTCTTTAAGGGAGAGGCAGCTTGTATCCATGATCTTGTTGTTCTGGTCATTACCCAGAGTTCGTGTGCATAGTTGAGGGTGAGAACGTAGATCAACGGGTAAATCCAGAGCTTATACTCTCAGCTCTCCCTTCACCACGATGCACTGGTACAACACCCACATCACTGCAGCCGCAGCCCCAATCTGTCTGCTGATCTCCCATTTCCCTCACTCGTGAACAAGACCCCAAGATACTTAAACTCCTCCACTTAGGGTGGATACACATCTCCATTTGAAAAACAGATACTGTCCAAGCGTAACAAATAAACACATAAACATACTACCTGGGGGAAAGAGTCTGCAGAAGCCAGCAGGACATTTTCAGGTTTCAGATCACAGTGGACAATGTTCTTGAAGTGGAGATGACGCAACGCCACCAAGATCTGACAGTGAGACAGAAAAACACAGATTGCATTTGCAATAATGATGTTGGACCTCTTGTCAAACACTCAATGCTAATGGCACCGGTCAGGCTGTAAATCTATGCAAGGGGAACACTAAAATAATATGAACAGGCCATAATTCAATTCAATTCAGTTTTAATTTCAATTTTAGTCCCCAGTCAAAAGCACAAACATAACTGACAAAAGCACAATGCAACATAACACAAATGAGACTCACTTACTGTCTGAACTTTACAACCCAATGATGTGTCTCTCCCTTTGAGATGCTCTGCCAGGCCTTTACTGAATCCATCTTTAGTTACTGCTGGGTTGCGAGTCTCTGCCTTCAGTTATGTTCTATTCATTTTCTTACCCATTGTTCATGTGAAGTGAAGTGTCTGATCAGTTTTGCATCATTTGGCTGAATGTGAGCAGAGATTATAGACCTATACAATCAGAATTTTTCCAGTAATTCCTAGCAGCAGCAACATGATTATTAAACACTAGTGCTATTTGGGGGTGGCTGTAGCTCAGGAGGTAGAGCCGGTCACCTACTGATGGGAAGGTTGGTGGTTCGATCCTTGGCTCCTCCAATCTGCATGTCAAGTATCCTTGGGCAAGATACTAACCTAAAGTTCCTCTCCGATGCATCCATCGGAGTATGAATGTGTGTAAATGTACTGAGAAAGTTCAGAGAAAGTGCTGGTGAGAATGGGTGTGATTGGGTCAATCAATTAATCAATCAAGGCTTTATTTGCCACGTGCAGGTTGCCCATACAGACATGGTATGGGGATACAGGTTGGAGATTGGTAGCTTTACAGAAAAAAAACACTGAAATATACACTACAATGGGAAAGTACAAGAGGAAAAAAAGAGACCTCTACTCATGCTGGGCTCCTGGGAGGACAGCATGAGAACAGGAAACAAAAAAACTCCTCTGCACAAAAAAGCACATAAATGTCCACAGGACAACATTATGGAACACGTGACAAGCCACAGGGTCGGGTGGGGGGTGAGGAGTATTCCGAAGCAAACACAGCAGCCATCCTGCCCAGCGCTACCATTCCAGCACGGGCTCAGACCCGCCGTGTTCCCAGGAGGGAAAAAGCATCGAAGGC